TGCTGGGTGCCCGTGGGGGGGGGCAGGGTGTGTGTGCGGGTGCTCGGGGCGGAGAGGTGGCTCCATGCGAGCAGCCAGTGAGGTCAGGCAGCTTTTGGGGGGCCCAGCATGAAAAGCAGTGCGGTTGGGAGGTTGCGAAGTAGGGGGTGGGGTGGGGCCTAGGCAAGCCCTTCTCAGGGGCCTGCCCTCCACCGCGGGGCTCCTGTGTCCCAGAGACCCCTGGCCGGCCGGGGGGGTGCTGCTGTCCCTCTCTGTGGGATTCTGGGGAGACCTGTCCCCCCAGAGCACATACCCCCCATGCTGGCAGGCTGAGAGCTGCACAGGGATTGCAGTTGGAAGGAGAAATAAGGGGGTTATGAGTGTGTGGGGGCCATTCCCAGTGCTGGGGGATTGGGGCAAGGGGGTGCCCTCACTGGGAGAGGGCCCATTTCCGGGGCCCACTCCTGATCCCCCTCCCTCACCCAAGGTGCCTGTTGTGGACGGGGTGTTGACGGTGATCATGTGCTCACTGGGCTGTTGTGCAATAGCAGGGGTGGGGCTGGGGGGGGAAGTGCCGGCATCTGGGCACACACTGACCTGCAGTAACCCCAGGGTGAGGTGCCATGCTGCTGGGGGCCCTGCTCTTGGTGTCCCATCTCCCCAGGGGTCAACACACTGTGGGGGGAGGGTCCCGGCTGTGCCTCGTCACCCCAGGGGGCGTCATGTTACTGGGGCCCTGCCCTGTCTCCCCAACTGGGTGCCATGCTGCGGGGGAAGTGTCATCCCAGCTGTCCCCCATCTCCCTGGAGGGGGGGCACATCTCCCCAGCCAGGTGCTCAGGGTGCCACACTGCTGGGGGGGAGGGGGATGTCTTGGCTGTGCCCTGTCTCCCCAGCCGGGCTCCAGGGGGTGCCATGCTGCATCAGGGGTGTTGTCTCAGCTGTCCCCCGTCTCCCTGGAGGGGGGGGCACATCTCCCCAGCCGGGCGCTCGGGGCGCCACATTGCCAGGGTGTGTGTGTATTGGTTGTGTCCTGTCTCCGCCCCGTCTCCCCTGCTAGGCACTGGGGACCGCTGTGCTGATGAGCTAATCCCCTTCTCTTTCCCCCCCCCCCCCCAGACTGCAGGAGCCCCGACAGTTCGTCTCTGAGCTCATCACCCCCACCGGAGCTCTCGGCCCCACTTCACCCCTCCATGATCAGCTCGGCCATGACCTCCTCCATCAACTCGCCCGTCAGCAGTTTGGGCTCCCCCTTCCCTGTCATCAGCTCGTCCCTGGGCTCCCCTGGGCTCCCAGCCACGCCCTCCAGCGGCTATGGCCCCGTAAGCAGCCCCCAGGTAAGGGGGAGGGTGGCTCCTCCCCCGGGGGGCAGAGGAGATCTGGTGGGAGGTGGGGAGCTGAGAGATGGTGAGGGGGCCTGGGGGCTTCCCCAAGGGGGTGCAGCGCCATGGAGCCGAGCCCTGGGGAGAGGGTTGGGAGTTAGGGGGATGGTCTCTTTGGAGCCAGGATCCAACGTGGGGGGACTGGCAGCCAGTGAGCTGGGAAGTGGATAAAATAGGGACAGCGCCCCAGTTGGGAGCGCTGAGGGGTCACAGACATGATGGGGATAGGGGCGTGTGTGGGGCTGGGCTGGGGGCCACAGGGGTAAGGGGAGGGAAAGGCTGAATCCTAGCGGGAACCGGGACATGCTCCTCTGGGGAGCTGACACCCATGAGGGGAGGGATTGGGGAGTGGGGCATGCTCCCTTCCCCCGGAGCACTGCAGGGTAGCCAGGTCAGCTCCCATCTCTGTGCCCCCAGATTAACTCCACTGTGAACCTGTCGGGCATGCACTCCGTCAGCAGCTCGGAAGACGTCAAGCCCCCCCTGGGCGTGCGGGGTCTCCCGTGCCACCCCCACGGTGGCATGATGCCGGGGAAGCGCCTCTGTGCCATCTGTGGGGACAGATCATCAGGTACCGGGGGCCAGGGCACCTGGGTTCTATCCTCAGCTGTGAAAGGGGAGTGGGGTCTAGTGGGCTAGAGCGGGGGGGGGCTGGGAGCCCGGACTCCTGGGTTCTGTCCCTGGCTGTGGGAGGGGAGCCGGTTGCGGAGGGCTGGGAGCTCGGGACTCCGTGGGTTCTCGTCC